TGGAGCAGTGGCTTGTGCTTTGTCTCCCCCAAGAGCGAGGGACAGGGCAGCGCTCCAGCCTGTCCGTGGAGCCACAGCAGGGAGGGAGCGGAGAGCGAAAGGCACAAAGAGCGCGGTGCCTCTGGCAGCTCAGGGCTGAGCTGCTGCAGCGCAGCTCTCCAGCAGCAGGGCTGGCCATGAGTGAGCTTCTGCTTCTCTGTGTCCTCGCCTCCAGCAGGCTTGCCATGGGGAAATGTGCTCATGTGGCCATTTCTGCTGTGCTCCACAGAGAAAGCCCCACAAGCAGCAGTATCCTCCTGGGCACCTGATTGTCTGCAGTGTCTCTTGACTCACCATCATTTTGGGCTGAGGTCAGGAGCCTTGAGGAGCTCTCAGCATTTGGCCAAGGCTCCAGCTCCAAGGTGAGGGGAGACAGGTTGCAGTGGGGCCATGAAAATCCCACCTGCAAATGTGGCAGCTGGCCTGATGCAATTCCTCAGGGTTGAGCTGGGGCAACGGTCACCCCACAGTGCAGTGCTGCAGCCTGATCCTGACACAGCCTCCAGAAAACACAGGGTCAGGTCAGGACAGGGCACCTTCACACCACCAAAATGCCAATCACTGAGGTGGCTCCCATATCTCCATTCATCCCTGCCCTTCAAGGTATTACCTGGCACCCCACTTCAATGCAGACCCCCTAGGGTCCCAAATACACAGGGCCAAATCCAGCCCTGGCCCTGCCTGGGTGAATGAATACAGGACAAAGCTGGGTCAGGAAAACCAAGGAGTAAAAGCAGAGCATGAGGTGTGCTGTGGATGCCATGCCATGGGCATGTTGCTTACAGGAGCAGCCAGGAATGAAATCAGAATTAGAGCTTGTCTGAGTTTGCATTTGAATAATTTCTTTCCCAGCTCATCCCCCATGGGTTTTCCATTGCACTTGGATCAAACTGTTTCTGGTGCAGTTTGGCAATGGGATGCCTCAGTCCCAGCAGCCGCAGGTAGGAGGCCAAAAGTATCATGCTGGAGCTGTCCCTGCCCCGCGTTGGGGAGAGTGGGACACAGGGCATGGGGGAGTTCATGCCAGGAGGCTCCTGGGCTGTCCAACTCAGCCCCAGCACCCACATCACCTCCCTGGGCCATGGTGCAAGGGAAGGAGAACTATCAGGGAAGGCTTATTGGTGTTGACCTCCATCCTGCTCACCTGCCTGTCTGCTTGAAACCGTTCACCTTTCTTTGCAAATCAGCCCATGGAGGAGGATGAGGGGGAAGGCTTTTCCTTGGCCTGCACCTTTCAGTTTCTGAAAGCAATGGTTGCTTAGAGCAACAGAGGGATGAAGGCAGATGGATGGCACTTTGAACAGCAGATATCCATCAATGATGTGAAATAAATGCCTCAGAGGAGAGTTTTAAATCTTAGAAAAAAGAAATACAAAGGGTTTCCATGCACACTCAAATAGCCAGGGACTGCAGGGTAACATCCCCATGGGCATGAGATGGACAACAAGCAGCCCCAAAGCATCCCAACCTCACTAACCATGTCAGGCTGGCAGGTGCTTCCACGTGGCTGCAATGTCTCTGGCAGGCTGCCTTCCTGCCCACTGGATTGCACAGATGGCTGCCTGCAGAGCAAGGGGAGGAGGAGGAAGGAGATCAGAGTTTGAGGAGCACAGAGCTATTGAAAACTCTCTAACCCTGACCACCTGCTGCAGGTTGTGGACCCTGGTGTAAGCTCTGCTTTACCCCATCTCCCTCCACTGCTGCCCCTCTGGGCAAGCTCTGTGGTACTGCTGCACGTGGTCCCTGGGATACACCAGTGCTGGTGCTTTCAGCCTGGAATTCCTCAGCTTTTGCAACAGGGTTTGGCTGCCTTGCTACGTGCATCAGGATGGTGAGTTCATGCTGCCCCAACTGACTGTAATTCCCAGAGGAGGGATTAAAATAGAGCCTGAGGCCAGCAGTTGAGCAATCACGGAGTTCACTGCTCGTGCAACAGTTGCTCAGTGCTTCCCCCATTGAAATCTTTGCCCGTGCTCCAAAGTGATGTGTGTCATTTCCCGTCTCTTCTGCTGACATACAGGCAAAGGGCTGGAATCCTCTCCTGGTGCTTACTCCTGCCTGAGCCACTGTCATCACAACTGTGCCAAATATTGCTGAGCCAAGGAAAAGCTTTTCAGCCATTAGCTCAGTCCCCAGGTTTGAAAGTGAACATTTACTGAGGGGTGAGGCTGCCCAAAGCTGCTGGCAGCATCAGCAGCTCTGTGGGTGCTCAGGGGGATCCCCGTGTGTCCCTCAAGTCTGCCCCTCCATGCATGTGAGCTTTGCAGCCCAAACCAGAGGGTGGGGGCAGTGGGCAGCAAAGTGTATGTATATAGTATAGTTGTGGGATGCACCAGCAAATCCCAGGTTAACCCAGATGGAGACCAGTCCCTCCCTGAATCCATCCTGAGCTATCTGGAAAAGGCCTTTCACTCTTCACTTTACACAGAATGACCCTGTGTCCCTTCCCACTTCCAAATGAGCAGAAAGCCCCTGCACCTCATGGTCCACCCATGGTAGCACCTGCTGCACAAACCATTGCCCTCAGCTGGCACCTCCAAGTTCAAGGGTTTCCTGTGGGCACTGGTTTCAGTATGAAGGGAGCAGAGGTCAGTGCCTGGAAGTGCTGGGCTGCTCCTATAGGACTAGGCATTTCCCTGGCACAGCTTGCCCCTTTTCAGACCCACTCAGGAAAGAGGGTTTAGGAAGAGCAGTTTAGACCAAGGGATGTGTGACACCTGCACAGAGAGCAAATACATAGGGGCTTCTCAACACACCTGCCAATACCAGTCCTAGGTGGCAGCAATGGTGTTTCTCTTACAGCTCTAGCAGGTTTGCAGAGCTCAGGGCTGACCTGAAACTTTGCAGTGACTCCAAACAGCATATGTTGAAGCAGTGGAAAAAAAAAAGAGCCAGCCAACTTGAACAAAGTTTCCAAAGAAAGCTCCGTCTGTCTGTGCATCTTCTGGGGTGAGAGGTGCCAGAGTCTTCTCCTTGTGGCAGCTCCAGTTGCAAAAATCTGTGGCAGCTCCAGTTGCAAAAATCTGTGTCAGCTCAGTGCCTGCCCTGTGTCAAAGATATGATGAGCTCTTTGCTATTTTTTCCCCCTTGCAGATGGAGACACAGCTGGCTGGATCCAGGGAAGCTGACTCGCACTGGCTGCTTGGCTCTGAGAACTGAATTCCATAGGCATTAAAGGCTCCAAAATGCCCTATGGATTCAGTTCTGCAGCTGGGCAGCAACTGAGCCTCAAACCTTCAGGAAGAAAAGGCAACTGTGAGTTCTTCCTACAAGGAATATGTAAATCTTTGCTCCTGCACAGAGACCAAGTTAGGGGTGGAGGGGAGTTATGGCCACCACAGAAATACCTGCTATCAGAGAGCTGCTAGAGGTTTGTGGCACATCTTCCCCCAAGGGAAAAAAACCACCCAACTATAGAATGCTTTCTTCCTTCTGGAAGTGAAATGGCATTTTAGAAAATAAATACATTACTAGCTCCTGCTGTACTGCAAGCAATTGTGAGCCTCTGCTAAAAATACACATTGTCAGAACAACAGCCTGGGTGTGCCCAGCAATCTACTGTTCAGAGTCCAGGCAGCAAAACCAAACAAAACTTTGCAGAAGATAAACAGGACAGGATGAGTAAAGTTAAGGGCTATGCCCTCTGTCTCCCCATGGGCCTTGGAGATGACCCCAGCAGCAACACATATTTAGAGAAAGTATTTGTGTAGGCAACAAGCTCTGTTTTCACCCATCCATCACATACTTCTGGGAGAGCCTGGCTGTGCCCCTTGACGTTTGGGGACATTTCCACTATGACATGGTATCATGCTGCCTCCAGGATCCTAACAGCTGGAGGAATGGCATTTAGGATAATTTATTGTGCAAGTCCTTATAATTTATGTAGCATTTCAAAATCACTGTATGGCAAACCCCATGCTCTTTCTCACCTTGCCTAGAAGAGCTAGTTTGCACCTCTTCCAGGATCTCACCTAAAGCAGCCCCTGCCCATGGCAGGCAGCATCCAGTTCTGACAGCTCAGCTGCGACCCACAACAGCTGCAGGGGATGGGGAAGAAGCTCCTTTCCACACCCCACTGAGGTGCTGAACCACTGTGCAAGGATCCAATGCATGAACTTTGGGTTCACTGCCCAAAAGTGCTGCTACTGCTGCTGGAAGGACGGGCAGTGCACCACCAATGGAGGCATTTAAATGCACATCCCTAACTAGGTAGGACAGCCTGCTCAGCCAAGAAGGAGATTGAAAAAACCTCAACAAACAACCAACCCAGAAGGAACTGCTGCCTTTTTCCTATACTAGGTAACCAGAAGCATAACCGATTAGCCAGCTGTCAGTAATGGAGGCCTTTTCTATCACATTCACCAAGTCCCACTGCCACTGCTTGCAACACAGCCAAAGAGCACCAGTTTGGTCCAAGGTTTCTACAGCAATTTTTCTGGTTCAGCCCTCTTGCAGCTTTGTCTGGCAGCAGAGTTAACACATTTCCAAGAAGCTAAATGGGGAAGGGGAAATGCAGACAGTTGCTGAGACATTTTGGCAATTGGTTAAACAAAATCTGTTGCACTAAGAAAAAAAAAATTAAAGAAAATCCACTTGCTTTCACTTTATTGCAATTCAGAACAACCCAAGGCCTCCAAGTTCATTCACCCTCAGTCTCTCCTTTGCTATGCAGATTGATAACATCCCATTCCCTCCCATGTGTGAGACTAGGAGACTACAGGGTGACAGAGAGGGTCCCTTATTTCTCCTGTATGTTTATAAAGTTCCTGCTGGTCCCTACAGAAGGTGACAGAAAATAAGCTAGGGCAAGGCCGGATGCTGCCAAGTGGGACAAGGCACCATGGCTGGGCATGAACCACAGCAGAAGCCATCCCTAACTTGACAAAAAGGTGTCAGATCTGACTGTAAGTTGTACACAAAAGAGACTGATGTTAGGCATTTAAAAATCAGAAATAGAAGCATTTGCATTTGGTGTTTTTTTATTGTTCATAGTCATTTAAAAGGTAGAAGTTTTTAGAAATTTGCAAGTAAGTCAGACCCAGCCCCTCAGAGCCCTCCAGACTTCCAGCACAGCTCTTCCAGTACAACCACCAAGCCATGGAAGTGCTGTGATTCACACAACTCCAGCAACCTCATTGGAGAGCCAGCACCTCCAACCAGAGCCAAGTCAGACCCAGAGCAGGGCCTCAACAGCAGTTTCAATAAGGACATGTGGCCAGGAGAAATGAGCACCACACTATCAAGTGTAAGAGGATGGGGACACCAGAGTGTAGGGAAGTGCTGCAAACAGGCCCCATGTGGTGATAAAGCACAATGATATGGTCATAAACACCAGTGACAAGACATGCAGATATTTGTTCTTCAGAGTGTTCAAGAACTCCTGTGTCCTCTGGGACCTGCACTGCCCTCAGCCTGAAGGAAATTCAGCTTTTATCGCCCCAGGGAGAAAACCAGCTTACAGGCCGTTCCCCTGGACAAGGTAGGAGGAAGAGGCCCTTCTTCTCTGATCAAGAGCTGCAGTTTGGAGATCCCCCACCAGGCTGTGACCAGTCAACCAAACCAGTGGAAATCAAATGCTCATTTTAAAACCAGGGCCAATGAGCTGACCCAACAGTCCAGTGTCATGTGGGTTCTTCACAGGGTGGGTATTATGCATCAGTTAGGGTAAATCTGCCATAAGGTTGTGGTTGATGGGGAGCAATTAAAAGAAATCAGCAATAATGGTGGCATCCATTGCTTGTGTTACTTGCCAACCACACCAAAACCAGCTGCCAACTGGCTCCCATGAGGGTACTGGAGCATCAGTCCATTGGGTGTCTGACTCCCTCAATGTCTCAGTTTCTTTTTCTTCTTATGGTTCCGGTCCTCGCTGCTGTCATCTGCCTCACTGGCACTGGGGGTCACAGCCTGCTGGATGACCTTCTTCTCCACTGCATATTCCTGATCTTCTGTCTTGGGGTCTCCCTTAACCAAGAACTCTCCTTTCCGATAGGATATGGAAACATTGGTCCGGGGGTAGGTGCCATAAACCCGCCGGAGATCATCCTTCACAAATTCTGGGAGGTCTTTCCTTGGCCCAAATACCTTTCCAAGCTTCCCCCATTGAAGCTCCCCTCTCATTGTGAAGCCTTCTGGCCACGTATCTCGATACTGATCTGACCTCTGGCAGGCAGCATAGTGATGGTAGCTTGCATAGGGGCTGTAGAGAGGGACAGGGGCCATGGGAGGGGAGTGCCAGGTGTGGTATGGATGGATATAGGGACTGGAGGCACTATAGAGATGATGATACTCCACCTGACCTCCTGCATAGTCAGGGTAGCTGTTCCTGTCCACCACAAAAGTGATGGGTCGACTGTAGAAGTTGTGCATGTGGATGGGAGGGAACATCACAGATCTGGATGTGTCTTCTGCTCTCCCAGGCCGCAGTGGTGGGTAGGTATAAGCAGAAGGTGGGATCATGGCTGGGTAATATTCCCGTGGCACAAAGCTGGAATGGTACATTGTACAGGAGCCTGGGGTTTTACACAGGGGGCACGTCTCTGGAGCAGTTGCTAAGTCTCAAAAGCTGTGAGGACAGAAGGGGAAGACAATCAATTTATACTGGTTATATACACTTTGGGGTGAATAAGGAGATACACTTCGCACTGGAAGCATGCCAACTAATTAATAATTAATAGAAGGAGCTCCCCACAGCTTGCAAGAGCAGTAACCTATCAAGAATAAGTGAGCTACATTGCTAGCAACTGCTTGTTAGCTCCTCTGCAAGACATCATTTAACCCACACATCTCCAAGTTGCAAAGATGAGAACAAGCTGACATAAAGACCACTGAGGGCAGAAGAGTCAACCTCATCCTCATGACTTGTGTTTGCAGTGCTGGGAGGCAGCAAGACCCTGCAAGGAGCTGAGGCCCTTGAGCAGGCATGAAAGTGGGAAAGGCAGGCACAAGGGAGAGAAACAAAGCAAGCAGGCAAAGAAAGGAAAGAGGCAACACAGCCCAACCCTGCTGCAGTCATGTCAACTGCTGCCCTGCCCAGACAAGGAAATCTTAAACAAATAAAAAGATCTTCAGCTGCCCTTGACTCTCTCCCCATCCTCCCAAAGCCCTGCTTTTACTCTGATAAGTAAACAAGAGCTGTATCTTTTGTTTATTTCTAGAGCAAAATCCAGGCACATCTACACTTCCTCTGACAAGTTCTCATGTACAGGTTTCTCTTTCTGGTCTCACTAATTACCATTCACGTTTAAGTGCACATTTACCTTGAGCAACTCTGACCTACAGCTGAATTTGCTCCTAGCCTGTCCTTGCCAGATATCCAAGGACCCTCCAGGGCATGAAGCAATGTCCTCCCATGACTCATTATCCTCTCCCCTAGGGCCAGAAAGGAAGCTGTATATAGCATAGGGTTTTTTTAGTTTTTTTTTAAGAACAGTTTGCTATCAGAGACAGGAAAAGATCGTGCATAGGACTATAGGCAGCAAACTGGATTTTTTTTTCCCCACAGAGTTCAGATCCTGTGGGCTCCTCTTGCCTTAACTAGAGTTGCCTCTCCCACAAGTGTTAACCAAGAAAGAGAGATGAAAGTTCAGCTGTCCCCTAAAAGTTGCCCGACACAAGCAATGCTGGGTACTGCAAAATGGGGGTTTTTCTTTTTAGCTAGCACAAATTCTTCCTTTTCCTAGAGGTTCATAATGTACATTAACTAGCTCAAGCCTTTTTTTTGCTATGGGTTCAGGGGTAGACACCTACACTCCACAAAGGGAACAGCAGAACAGCACTGGAATATTCAGTCAAGACCAGGCAGCACCCTTAAACAAGATTTGCAGGCTTGGAGACAAAGCCCATCACAACCATCACCCCCTCAGATAGCAGGAAATGAAACAAAGTTCACAACCTACTTGCCTAACTTACTCAGAATGACCACAAAAATCCAAAGGGGTGTTGTATGTCAATGGCAGCATAAAGTAGGCACGTGGAATAAATGGTGTCATCTTGAAAACCAGTGTCAGCATCTCTTTAAATAGCTCATTCATGCATTCCTATTGAGATCACTTTGTAAAGTGCTTTTATTTCAGAGCAAGTGGTCTGCACAGAGAGTGTGCAGTTATTGCATCCATCATATGAAACAAAGCAAGCCCAGCTTACACCCCTTCTGCTGGGTCAGTGTGCTGCTCCAAGCCAGTTAAGGACCACTCTGGAGAAGCTGTTCACATCTAGCTGATGACCAGCTCTTGCACAAAAGCTTCTGTAGCACCCTGCATTTTGGCTGTCAGCATCATTGCTCACAGGTCTTCCTGGCAGCTGCAAGGAGAAGGACTGACAGGCCATCTAAATCACTGTGGAGTTAATCACAAGGCAGCCTGAGCACAGCAACTAATTGCTTTGATTTTACACTGAAGAAAGATAAGGGGAACAAGCTGGTGTCTTAGCCAGGCAGGATGACCCACAAGAGGAAGCAAACTGAACAGATAAGGGGGAACAAGATGAGGATTAAGCAGGGCTAGAAGTGCTTCAGGGCAGCATTATCACATGCCCTACCACAGAAGCAAACCCGGGGAGAGTGTGTTGACAGCCTACACAAGACTTCCAGCCCCGAGGAAGTTTGCAAACCTGTCCGGGCAAGCCTTGACTGGGCGGCCTCTGCCAGGCCCCCCTGCACAGCTGCTGCCCTGTCCCTGCCTGCTCCCAAGCACAGAGCTCTCAGACTGCCCAGCCACAGCCTTACCTGCAGAGGCACCGAGCCCCAGCTCCTGCCTTGCAGCACCAAGTACTGGTCTGAATGCTCGGGTGTGTTGCAACAAGGTTTTGGTATGCAAGAGGCACAATGCTCCTGCCCTGCTTCTGCAGAGCAGCATCCTGGTGCCCACAGGGGCTGACAATGCAATTTACCCCACCATTACACAATTGCCTGTTGTTCATACCGACCTTCAGGCTGAGCTACAGCATGACAAATCCACGTGTACAGGAGAAAAGGGCTTTGAGAACACCAGTACCAGCTTGCCCGACCCAATCACTCAGTTACTAGGAAGTAAAAGCAGACCCTGGCCATCTGATGGCTGGAAGGCATCAAAAGCCAGATGCTTAAGAAAACCAACTCCAAAGACCGACAGCGAGTGGTACCACTTGAGGAAGGAGTCCAATCCCCAGTTTCTTCTCCCCTTCCTCTTCTCAAGGAGACCTTATAGCACCTAAAGGGGGCCTCCAAGGAGGCTGGCAAGGGAATTTTCACAAGAGCAAGCAGTGATAGGACAAAGGGGAATAGTTTTAAACTGATGGAGAGTGAATTCAAATTGAATATTAGAAATTAAAATTCTTTACTGTGAGAGTGGTGAGGCACCAGAGCAGGCTGCCCAGAGAAGCTGTGGATGCCCCATCCCTGGAAGCATTCCAGGAGAGATTTGATAGGGCACCGAGAGCTCTGATCTAGTGGAAGGTGCCCCTGCCCATGGCAGAGAAGTTAGAACTGGATAATCTTTAAGTCCTTTCCCATTCAAACCATGCTATGATCCACCTGCTCTTACTTCTCTTGTTTCTCCAGTACCAGCAGCCAGAAGCTGGCCTGGTCTTGGAAGTAAATACATGACAGCCTCCAACTCTTCAGGACCAGAAAGGGAGAGAGGATCCTAGCTGATCTGTCTCTTCAGACTACTCCCTCCTTTGCTCCACCTTCAAGCTCTCTTATCCCTTGGGGAAAAAAAAAATAAATAAAAATCACCACATCTGTAACTGAGCACTTGAGTGTCCTGAGCAGGAACAGGCAAAGAAGACCTTAAAGCCTGAGCTGAACTCTGCTAAATGCTTGCCTGCCCCTGAGAGCCACTGACATCCATCAATACATGCCAGGTGTTGGTGGCACAGACAGAAAGCCTGGATGGCAGACAGTAAGCTGTGCCTGGGAGCCAAGCCTCCCCATGCCAGGGCACCTGGAGCAGTGGTTGGCAGCAGGGAGCAACAAGGGGCCAACACAGCAGGAGACAAGGCAGCCTCTCCTTTTAAGCCTTTCCAGCAGTTTTGACCTTGCTGGAAAAGGGTTCAGATCCCACTTGGCTGTTGCTGAATGAGACACCAGGCACAACAAAAAGGAGAGAAAACTCCAAAGACGGTCACAGAAAACTAACATAAGATTGTCATCTCTTCTTGGTGAGAACATGAAACTGCAGACTATTCCCAGACTTGCCAGAGCTGACTCCAGCAATTCCCTTACCCACTGCTCCAGTCATCTGGCAGGGCCTTTCCCTCCTCAAACATCTTGGTGGAGGTCAAGGGGACTGACACCACAGCTCCCAAAAAAAGGCCTGCCAAGAAAAGTGTGCTTCACACCAGCTGCTCCACATAGAGTTGCTATAGAGCAACCAAACAATGTTTGCAATACAAAACTAGAGAGGACATTTGATCAGAGAAGCTTTTGTTTCAGCCCTCTCAGTTACTACAGGTGATGAAACCACCACTAGTTAAAACAGAAATGCCTACGTCTGGTAGGGCTTTCCTAGTATCTACAGCAGCAGAAATTACCTGCTAAAAATACAGAGGACCATGGTTTTTCTGAACATCTCAGGGCAGTAGAGATTTACTATCAGCTTGGCTAGCTTTGAATTTGGTGAGCTTTCTTTTTAGGTATTTGTGGAACACAAGAGACTACTGTGAGCTACAGAAAACAGAGAAAAGTAAATATTAAATTCATGCCAGGCTTCACATTCAGTAGGAGAGAGACTGAAGTGAGCCTGGCTGTATCATGGGCAGTACCAACACACAGGTGTGCCACAATACCCAACATGTGAAACTTCATACAAGTATCTCACATGTCTGGAGAGACTGGTTTCACCAAGCCCCCTGTCCAGCAGAAGCAGGGTCCCCAGGTCAGGCTGGCAGTTTGGACGGGTTTAGATACTGCCTCAGGGAATATGCTGCAAGCCAACACAACTGTGGAGACATTGGGCCCATGGGAGAGGACGTGACCATCTAATTTACTGTAACACTCAACCCAGACTATTCTCACCTCATTCCATAGCTCTGTGATCAGCTCACAAATTAAGATACCATTAAGTTACCCTTTCCTCTGTTCCAGCACTCAAGCTTTCAGACTATTCTTTCTAGCTTTTTTCCTGGCCTCTACCTCCTCCCCCACGCCACAAAAAACCACAGATCTCCTGCCATTGCTCTGTAACAACTCCCAAGGGTACAAGGATGAATACTGCAAAAGCACAAATTTCCCCCAGCCAAGAGGATAAAGAAGTAATGAGTTATTTCCAGTAAGTCTCCCCATTTTGAGCAGAGTCTGCAGAATTGTTGCCACCTTACAAAGTTTTGGTAAAGACTTTAAAAAAGGAAAAAAAAACAGCTTCAAGGACTGCTTACAGTGAGATGTTAAAACTGAATGATTTTATTCAGCCAAGGTTTGTCTTCCATCACTCTGGTGTCAGTCCCACACACTTAGCCAGCATCCTGGTAGCTGGAAATAGCACGTGGGAGAAGATCATGACAAAGCAGTTTCATATTTTTCCTTATCACTTCTATCCCTTTATTGCCAGCTTAAGGTCATGCTTGGTTTGAAGTCTTTTCAATAAAACTCATCCAGGAGAAGACTCCCAAGTACTTCTTGGGGAGATGGGAAAGCAGTACAAAAAGCCACAACACAATAACTTTGATCCTCCACCACCAGTACTGATCCTTAGGACAGAGGAACCTGGCTACCTTCCTAAACAGGATGCTTTCTCTTAGCCAGACATGCCTGGCAGCAACACAAGAATTCAAGGAAAATGCAAAAGTTCATTAAAAGCTGGGCCTTTTCAGGCCTTCATCTTTATCTAGAGGACCAAATTCCCCTACTAGTGCTGCTAAATAATGGAAAAACTTGAATTTTGAACACAAACCCACTCACCCTCCCCAAACACAGCAACACATTTTGCTACACTCTGCAAGAGAAAATCAACCCATACTACCCCAGCAAAGTACTCCAAGAATTGTTAAATACTCGCACAAGGGGTGACTGCATCACACCCAGTTCAAGGTACCAGCAGTGATTAACAGCAATACAAATCAGCGCTGTAGAGAACAAGCCTCCACACACCACTAACCCAGTCTGAGGAACTCCCCCAGCATGCTGGGGCTCTGACCCTGTTTCCTCTCACCTCCTTTCTATCAGGAACTACTTCACTGCCCAAGCCAACTGGAAGAATACCACAAGCAGAGCTGATATAAGAGCTCCATGCACAATCCCTTCAGCTCAGCCAAGGGGGAGAATTTAACTTCTGAAGCCAGAAGACACCAGTCTCACCCTGCTGTTACTAGTGCACCATGAAGAAAAGAGCTCCAGCTGGCATTGGTAACTCTGGAAATAGCAGCTAACGCATACTACAGTCAGTCAACCCTTACAGAGGCCCTTTGAAGAGGGAATAGATCCATTTCAGCTATTCAAAGCAACATTCCCAGAAAGCACTAAAGTCTGGTGTGGGTCTGGCAATTGTTTCTGAGGTCTGTGCAAAGCCCAGACTCTGTATGAACTCAAAACACCAGGAAATGGCCAAGTCATTGCAGAGCAAGTCTTTACTTGACAGCTGTTATCCAAAAACCACCTTCCTGCATAACTCTGGTCAAATAACAGTCAAATGCAGCTCACTGCTGACAGAGGTTTGGAGCAGCCACTCCTACTCTGACTGCAGCTGCTGGGTAGCACAGCAGCTCGGGAACAGCTGTGCCACCAAGAATGAAACATGATGAGTCTTACCACAGGGTGACTGCATCAGCAGGCAAGGCTCTAGAAAACATCCCTGCTGCTGCCAAGGTGATCCTGACACCGTCACCTATCCAGCCTCTCCCTGGGTGTGTATCTGCTGCACCAGAGGATACATTTTGGATATACTCCACAGTTTCTCTTTTTCTGACACGTTCTCTGTTTGGCTTAGCCTAACTTCTGTGTTATTAAAGTTTTCACCACCACCATTCCCATCTTCCCCGTAACCACTGCAGACACCCTTTACATCAGATGCCTTCCTCATCTGAGGTTCAAATCTGTGTCCCATGTCTCAATATCCCAGCTACCATGTTATTTCTCATTTAAACCCTTTCCCAGATGCAGCTATGTATCTAGACACTACTTTTTTTTTTTTCAGTTGAGCATATTTTAATGTGTATTTCATAGCATTCAGTCCTAAGGATCCCCTCCATGTTAAAACACAGCCTGCACAGACCTGCTCCTCCTCTCACTCAAGAGTTCATCTGATACCCATCATCTCCATCCACAGATGTTCTTCAAAGAAAAGATCTCAGTATCAGGTAGTTCAAGCTTCCGAATTAGGAAGTCCTGGTTGAGCCCCCAGCTGTGCCTTCTGCCCAACTATTCCCCTTCATAGTACAGTGTTGAGGGAACAGACTCAGGGCACTAATTGTATCAAGCACACCAATAAGTCAACTAAAATATCAATAACCTCATTAATGCATCAGTAGCATCTCATGGCTATTTATACCACTTTGCACACAGCTATGAAGCTACTAATCAAGTCTTACGAACCACACATGATGCAGTTGAGTCACCCTTCCCTCCCACACCATTTAGCACTACGATGCACATCTACCCCTCTTTGCTCTACCCTCCCACAACAATTCTTTCCAGCATAGACCTGATGTAGAGTCCAGCAGGTTGTTCAAGGAGCATCACTTCAGTATTCCTGTGAGCTTGGGTCCTCAGGCTTTGCTATCATCCAGACACCTGCAATCCTTCAGTCAGCTGATCTCACCTTTGTCTCATTTTATACATTATTCTCCAATTTCAGAATCCACTTTTTCTGCCGCATTCACACTTTCTTTACCTCAGTCTCCTCCCAAACAGCCAATCCACCCAGATTGTTTCTTCCTCAGTTTTGCCACATCCATAATTAAATCTGACAATTCTGATATGGTTACCTTGGTAATCTCAGCCTTACGTGGTATTACTGACATGGTGCAGGTGGCCTGGAAAGGTTTTACCCTGCAAGAGCTGCTTCACACACTCCATAATTATTTGGTTCCTCCTGGATATATATTGTTTACTTTACACACTTCAAGACAAATCTTTCAATTCCAGCCTTAATTCCCATGTCCAGCTCCAGTTACCTACCAGCACTTTCTTATCTTACACGAAGACAGTTCGCATAACAGAGCAACATGTTTTGTACTTCAACAGCATCCTACTCTCGCAGCTGCTCAATTACAAGTCTTTGTCCTTGAAGTGCTCTTGGGAGAGTCTCCTGTTATCCTGCAACAGTTAATGGATGACACAGCCTGGTTGTGCCCACAGTGGGTTTCCTCTGTTGAGAAATACCAGTGTCACAGAAAACTATTTGCATTTTAACTCTTTCTTCTCTAAATAGAGCCTATTCCCACATATCCTGCACTGAGGATGGATATGCAGAAGTACAGAAGGCACATAGTCTTATGCACTTACACTATGTCTTCACAGGATGTCAACACCCTAAACAGTAGGTCAGGAAAGCTTATTCACTCTTTGGGGTTGTATTACATACAACATACCCCTCTAGCATATAAGGGAGTTTTCTATTACAACAGCAACACACACTGCATTTCTAGTGTAAGTTCAAACATCTGAACTTACATACCCTTGGGAATACTCCTCTTATTGCATCCCCAAGGCAGACAGCTGCAGCATCTGCTGATCTACAACTTTGTTATAACTTTAAAAAAAACAACCAACTACCTTCTGTTATGGTCTTTAGACAATACAGAACCTAGCTCACAAATAACATTATTGATTTTTTAAAAATAGGAATCAAAAGAAAATCTTGTGTTTCCAGGAATACAATCACTCAAAGGCTTTTCTGTGTCATTTTTTTCCAAATTAAAGTGCTTAAAGCCTCTAATCACACAACAACAATGATTTAGATTAGTATCTTTCACAAGCAGGTGGTGCTGGGAATATTACAGAGTAGAGCACTGGCAGGAATCAATACTAAAGCCAAGTTATGCCACTCTACGTGGATTAGCACCCACATGACCAAACAGCTAATGTGAAAAGGACACCACCTGCAAAGGGATTTGTGTTTTTAAGAAGCCAAGCAAAATACAAAACACCTCAGTCATATACTGCTCTGCTGCCACAAGCATTAAAGGTAGCATATAACTGCAGAAACATTGCAAAACAGCCCAGTCTATAAGTGCAGAACACAGAGAGAGATTTGCTGGGCAATATGTACTCACTTGTGGAGAAAAGACAACCAGGAGAACGCCTTCACTTAACTAAGGAACAGTAGAACACACAACCTGATCCTAAGAAGGCAGGTTACTTCCCACAGGCTATTTTTCACTCAAGTACCTTAGGGACACAGAGAGTAAAGAGATGCCCTAAGATACTGCATTAGACCTAATGGAAGCTTTTCCTGTGGTAACCAAGGCAGCAAAACTTGCCTGAACATGCCCTCATACCTTAAGATGGTAACAGGAGGCTCATTCCTTCAGCAATTACATTACATGCTCAGGCAGGGAACAAGGATACAGGACACAGGTAAAGAAGCAGCTAAAATCAGCACATAAAGCCAGCATAGGAAAGCTTCAAAAGCACTCACCAAAACTTCAGGTTCTTTCTCAAGTCAGCAAAACTTAAAGAACTATAACCTTTAAAGCAACAGACTAACTAACACAGAAAAGAAGCCCCCATTAAACCCTTCAAAAATAAACCTTCCACTTTCCTCTTAGTGTTACTCTCCCCCAAGCTTTTTACTCACACTCAGCTACAGCTAAGCTGGTATTTGTACTTACAGCTCATCCAGGTTGTAATTAAGTAAGAAGCCATATCAGTGGCTCCCATCAGCACTATGTTATTGTAAGCACCTGCACTGTAACGGACCTTTACAGAGAGAAATCTCCACAGGAGTTTTAAATGGGTGACTCCTTCTGCAAGGTCAGCTCATCATCGCCCAGCACAACAGCAGCAGTAGTGCAGCTCCTTTGAGATGCTTACTGATTCTGTGATCTTAAAGGTCTTTTCCAAACTAAATGATTATTAGATTAGTGCCTTATGCCTTGCTCTGCTGCAGGTGATCTCAATAGCTGAAGCTAAATACCTACAAATCACTCTTTAATTACAAACCATGTTGATTACAATTAGTTGTCTGGCTTCTAGGAATTTATAAAAATGACCTGCTTAAGAAGCTACTAGTAAGTCTAATGTGCAAAACCATTGGCAAGTAATAGGGTGCAATAATATCTTTCTGTGCACAGCAATTGGCTTTTGCCTCAATTTCTCTCGGTGAAATTTCCCCTGGTGAAATTTGAGAACAGCTTAATGGAAGCAACTGTTGCAGTGAGAGACCATCGGTGATACATATGCTGAGCATAGGAGTTGCTTCTTGGAGAGAAAGGGCCACAGAGAGATCTTAAATGATAATGGACAATAATAGTCCCTACTTTCTGAAATACACAGGATGAATGGAAATTAATCGTGGGAGAGAAATGCAAGTCTCTGATTACGAAGACCAGAGACAGGATATTTGCTGGATTACTGCCCCACCTTCTGAAGCAGCCATGTATATGTTTTTGTTCCCATTAATCGTTCTGCAGCTTTCCACATGCTCTTTGGAGAAGAGGAGGCTTGGGGGGGACCTCACTGCTCTTCACAAACCCTGACAGGAGGTTGTGATGGGGCAGAGGCTGGTCCCTTTTACCGTGCCTACAGTGAGAGGGACAGAGGAAATTACCTCAAGGTGGGACAGTGGAGATTCAGATTCAATATTAGATATTTTTCGTTTGAGTGATCAGGCATTGGAATTGGTTGCACAGATGGTGGAGTTGCCATCCCTGGAGGTTTTCAAGTGGCCTCTGGAAATGGCACTGGGTGATACAGTTTAGTGGCTTACAGGTAACAGTGGTGGCGCTAGGCTGGCGGGTGGACTGGGTAAACTTGAAGATTTCATACAATATCGACGATTCCACGATGATTCTACGATTCCCTGACCCCAAGCGCTGGCGTCCCGGCCAGGCCGCGTTTCCATGGCGACGGGCGGACTGACCATAGAGGTGGCGCCACACCAGAGAGGCTCGTGCGGCTGGGGGCGGGGATATGCAAATAAGGGAGCAGAGTGCCCTCACACGCGATGGCTGCCGGGAGGTGCCGGCGGCTTCACTTGCCAGGGCGCAAAATGGCCGCGGGGCGGGGCTGGGGGTGCGCATGTGCGGCCGTGCCGCGCGACGGCGGAGCGGCGGGGGAGCGCCGGTACCGGACGCAGGTAGGAGGCGCCGAGGCGGTGCGCGGGCGTCTCTCCCGCCTCATCGCTTGTCCCGGTTTGTCTCTGTACCCGTAGTGTGGTAGGGTGGCGGAACCTTCGTCCGCTCAGTAAGGTGCTTCGGGTAGGGTGGCAGAGACACTACCCCCCGGGGGGCCGCCTTTGCAGGGGCGGGGGGCATCCCCTTTCCCTGCAGTGGTAGAGCCCTGGTGGATACTTCCCTCTGTTATGGTGGATGATCCCACTTTGGGCCGGGGGGTGCCATCGCTCCCTGGTCTCAGTGCCCGTGGGCAGGGGGCTCAGTGCTGGAGGCGGCTCTGGCATCGCCCTCTTCTCCTGGAGTGTTCCGCGGGTCTCTGGTGTCCCTGCTGCGCCTTCCCTTCACCTGGCAGCCTTCAGCCCCCTGCCATGGAGCCTGCGGGAGCGCCCACCAGGGAAGGATGGCAGCGCCTCTGTCTGGCCACCCAAGGTTGCCAGGCCTCCCTTCAGCTTGGAGGGTCCTGCGAATGGGACACAGGGATGGCAGCGCTGCTTGGGCATGTCCAGAGTCACGGTGTCCCCGTGTCCAGCCTGGCTCCCTGTGCTCCTGTCCTGCCCAGGAGGCCCGCGGCTGCAGTTGGGGACCCACTCAGTGGCTTGTGCCTTGTGGCTGCAGCTGGGGCCCTGCGGAGGGGCAGTGGCCTTGGGAGGCTGCACAGGTGAAGGGAGTCCCTCCTCCCGGGAAGATGTGTAGCAGAAACTACTGGTGGCTGCACTTGGCAGGGTGGTGAAAGTTGGAAATTCACCTGGAGTTTCCTCTTAAGTCTTAACAAAGAACAGGCAGAATGTCTGCAGTAATCCCCTCTTATAGCTCCTTTGAAGCAAATCTTGGGTTTTGTTTTCAATGATGTTTTCAAATTTATTTCTAGTTTTTTAATTTGAGGCCAGAGTTACTGGGCATTGGTTCCCATCTTTGTGCTGTGAGGTCTGTTACAGGATTGGAGCTTATATTGACAGCAAATGATCAGGAACAGGTTTTTTAATACATCTAACACACTTCCTTTACACTGTAAGACAATGAATTCTTTAGATATGGGATGTTGCATGTTGTTAAGGTAAAAGCCTTGCCAAGTTCCAAGGCTATGAGATCTGCCCAGTTATCTCTATATTGACAAACCTTGTGTTCTTATTAGGTAATGAGATCTGATTGAACAAGATTGCTCAGCTGGAGCACAGCTCCATGGAAGCTACCAGCTGGTTCAAGGTATTAATTGTCTGTGTCACGGTTGTGTTTGCGTGTATGAACTCAGCAGGGGTGATGGAAGCACATGATTGCTTGTAATAAGGAGGGTATGACTTAACCTCATGATGCACAGTCTTCAATTGTTGAATTGGTAAACAGTACTGGGAAATGCCCTCATAACCTCTTTCAGTCACGTTTCCATGCCTGGTCCAGGTGGTTTCAAAGTTTTCATTTCTTCACACGGCAGATACAAAGCTGCTGGGAGCCTGCTTTGGGATGTTTGTTCACGTTTCACACAGGACTGTGCTTAATGTTCTCTCGAGAGTCCTTGTTACTAAGGGATTATCTGAGGGTGTTAGGAGGCTTTCAGGAGAAGTATGGAGTGGAGAAACTGGGAG